CTGAATGAAGAAATCTATATGAGACTTCCCCCTGGTGTCACAAGCAATTCTGCATCAGATGTGTGTCATCTACGACGCCTCTTTATGGCCTGAAACAAGTGCCACGAGCCTGGTTTGAAAAGTTTTGTAACACTATTCGTCAATTTGGCTTTAATCAGAGTACCACTGATCCTTCTATGTTTCTTCATCGCATCGCTATTCTCCTTGTATATGTGGACGACATCATCATCACTGGTACAGATACAATAGGCATTCAACAACTACAGGCTTCTTTACACTCTTCTTTCCACATGAAGGATCTTGGAAACCTTACGTATTTCCTAGGCCTTGAAGTGCTTCAGTCTGGTAATGGAATTTTTATTAATCAACACAAATATGCCAAAGATCTTATTGCTTTGGCTGGACTCGAGAACTCAACTCCAGTAGCTACTCCACTTGAAATTAATGTTAAGTATAAAAAAGATGAAGGCCAACTACTCTATGATCCTATGACATATAGGCAACTAGTTGGGAGCTTGGTTTATTTGACAATCACAAGACCAGATATTTCTTATGCAGTTAATTTGATGAGTCAGTTTATGCACTAACCTCGACATTTTCATCTTGCAGCTGTCAAACAGATCATTCGCTATTTACTCGGCACTCCAGAGCGTGGGTTATTTTATAAAGTTGGTTCATCTCTCCAACTTACAGCTTATAGTGATGCTAACTGGGTAGGTTGTCCTGATTCTCGTCAATTTACAACGGGGTGGTGCATGTATCTCAATGGCTCCCTTGTGTTATGGAAATGCAAGAAACAAGAACGAGTTTCAAAATCTTCTACTGAGGCAGAATATCGAGCCATGTCTTTTGCCTATTCTGAAATCGTTTAGCTTCGTCGTCTTCTATCTGAATTAAGTTTCCTTCAATTAAATCCTACTTCTCTACATGCTGATAACATAAGTGCCATCCGGATTACAGAAAATCCAGTATTTCATGAACGGACTAAACACATAGAGGTCGATTGTCACTACATTCGGGAAACCTATGTTAATCATCTCATTACTTTGCCTCATGTGTCAACAAATTTCCAAACTGCAGATATTTTCACTAAAGCCTTAACTAAGACTCGTCACCAGTTCTTAGTTGACAAATTGATGCTTGTGGATTCACCAACATCAATTTGAGGGGGGGTATCAGAGGAGGTGATCTACATACCAAAATTAGATGATTTGATGAGTTGTAAGATAACTTATAATTAGGGATTTCATTCCAATTTAGATGATTTACAGATTGCTTATAGTTAGGAATATTATTTGTGGATACCAAATCTTGGGATATGATTGTGGTAAACATTCCTTGTATAGTAAATATTATTATATAAAGAAAGTATCCCGAAGGGAAAGGGACAGAAGTTTTCTCCAGAAATCTCTTTGTTCTCATCGTATTGTCATATATATATATATATATATATATATTTGCATTTAAATTTTTTTTTTTCCTATTGGTTTGCTTTTGGAGTGTTTAAAATGCAAGTTCGTTATTTTTATTGATGGTTAAACAAAGATGTGTGTGTTGCAGTTGGAGAGCTATTTTTTCTACGTACATGTTTTTGCAGCCCTTGGATTATATTTTGGTGTCAAAATTGTTTGGAGTAAAATAAAAACGAATCATCTCTAAGAATATCCACTACACAATATCCCCATTGCTGCAACAACTTCAAAGTAGTCTCTCTAAGAACAAGAACATCAGCCAAACCTACTGAATTAACATCAGAGAAAAATAGGGAAGCAACTCTCACTGGATTACCCTCATGATTTCATAAAATTAATATAAAATGTGGTGGTCCACCGACTCCACCACCACATCCTTTTGAATCCACATTAAACGAGGCATCCAAATTGAGCTTAAACCTACCAGTTCCTCTTATAACTGGTAGCAGCATTAAGAATCCCAAGTGGAGATGCATTTTTAGCCATGTGTAACGAATTATGGTTCTAAGCAGGGGCCGAGCCGTTAGGAAAATTTAAAATTTCACTATTCCTTTGTACTAAGACTCTCTCTTTTACTTCGATCAACTCAGATTACTCTCTTTAAATATTTGCTTGAATTGAAAAGTTAATGGAGCTCTTGTGTTGAGCTGAATGTAGGCCTGTCAACGGATTGGATTTGGATCGGATTGATCAAATCCATATCCGATTTGTTAAGCAAACGGATTATCGGATTTGGATCACTAACGGTTCTCGAACTGAATGTCCCAATTCATATCCTATTTAGCTCGGACTCAGATTGAATAAGAACGACACACTATTGTATATATAACATTATGATTTTTTTTTTTTTCTTTTGGAATTTTTGGGCTACCTCTAATACAATTTTAATAGGAATATTGAAAATTATTTATATATATAATTTTAATGGGATCGGATCGGATTATTAACGGATCGGATCAGTATAATCCATATCCGATTTGTTAAGCTAACAGATTATCGGATTCGGATCGTAATCGGATTATCGGATTTTTTTGTTGAATTCATATCCGACTAATTGGATCCGGATCAGGATTCACTCCATTGATCATGTAATGTTTTCGATTTTTACAATTTTTCCATTTACTGGAATTTTCAGATTTTTCGAGGGCATTTTTGTCTTTTCACGTGTTGCGTGCTGGACACCGTGGGATGTGCTGGGAGTGTCAGAGAGTTATTTGGGGCATTTCATTGAGTTCAGGACTCTTTGAAATGTAAGGGTAGTCATTTTTACATTTTTCAGGTCGGACGATTCGTGTGGGAGCCGCTACCGTAATTGTTGCATACTGGGATTTTAGTTGGGTTCATTTGCATCTCATATATTTTATTTAATGTGTATATGTAGGTTTTATATGGTTGTGTATGTATGTAATTTTGTGGTAGAAAAATTAGAAGGAAAATAAAAGAAAAAGAAAAAAAATGGTGGGACCTACCATAATTGTTTTTATTGGCCAAAAGGCCATTATTTAGTCACACCTTATCTCTCTCGCCTCTATCCCTCATTTCTGTTTGTTTTTTTTTTTTTTTTTTTTTTTTTGCAAAATTCAAGCTTTAATTTCTCTTTCATTCTTTGGAGTTTTTAGGTGCCGTTTGCGGCAAATCGAAAAGTTCGGTGAGATCTACAAGTTGATTTAAGCAATTTCAGCTTTTGGACACTCTAAGAATTTCGAAAATTTGAACCCATTTGAGGGTTTTCTACAAAATTGAGGTAGGGGTGTTTTAATACCCATTTCTTTGAGCTTTGTGAATTAATCTCCTTTAATTGATGCACAAGCATACTTATATTGTGTTAAATTCTTGAGATGTAATTTATATATTGTATACATAATTTTTTTTATGTTGTAGAAAGTGTGTGATTATGTGATAGCCGCCTTGTTGAGATGATACATGCTTAAATTAATGATGTTAATTTAAGTTTTATATATTTAAGTTGTTGGATTTGCAAATTGAAAGTATGTAAAATGCCATGAATTAGAAATATGAGAATGTGATATTGTGTGGAAGTTCATGTTTTAAACATGTCTAAATGATGTGGATGATATGTACGAAATTTTTATATTGCCATAACATTGAAGGAATTGCATAATTCATGCATTACCATTGGAAAAGTTTATTAAAAAATAAAAAATAAATGAAATTATTTTTGAAAAAATATTTTCAAATGTGTTTGCGAAAACCGCCTAGGAGGCGCCTAGTGGTCCATGTTGTTAGTGTAGTCTAGAAGGGAGTATGGTTGAGCTAACTAGGCTGGATGCGACGCCTTGGAGGTGCCTTGGGTCGGATTACACTAATGATTTGGAAGTTGAAACGGTATTGTTTCAGAAATAGGGAGCGACATTGCATGGCATGGCATTGCGTTGGCATACATTGTATATTTGGTGGTTAGACGACTTGCGTATGTATTTGTTGATATAACCGTTACTTTACTTGTTTTCCCCTAGGCATGATCTCATTTACTTATATTCTATTCCTTGTATGGATTTACGGGGTCGTAAGAGGTGTGTCTTAGACATTTTCTACTGAGCGATTGACCCACCCCATTTTATTATTAACATTTTTCAGGATACGGAAGGGAAGTGGCGGATGACGCTCCTCCACAGTTTTTGACGGGTTAATGGACTGTTTTGACTTATTTTGTAACTATGATCCCATTTTATTATTATTATTATTATGTAGCAAGATAGAAAATGACGGTAGTATCTTTAGTTAACCTCAGGTTCGGATAAAGATCCGATTAGCGATTCGGACTCTCGGATTCGGGTCGTTACAGTAATCGGATTATCGAATTTTTTGTTGAATTCATATCCGACTAATCGGATCCGGATTAGGATTTGCTCCATTGACGGGTCCATCTGAATCAAATTAAAAAAATGAGAAAAAGTGATCGTGAATTGAGCAACATTAGTAACAGGACAGAAAAGAAGCTTGTCAACCAGGTGCTGAAATAATCAAAGATGATGACTTCGATGGGTAGATAATATCCATAGTTGAAGAGAATCGTCCCATTGCATCTTTACAGAAGGTTCCACAAGAAGTAAGGGAGGAGGAGGAGATAAGGGATGCTTTGATCCTAGAGTGGTTTCAATAGGTCCCTATCACCATGGCAAGCCTGATTTGAAAGAAGCCGAGAAGTTCAAGACCAGAGCCGCGCCTTACACTCATAGCTGACAGCAACCGACTGCCTACCAAGGCCCTACTGAAGATGTAAATGATCGAATACAAGAGCATTACAATAGCACGATGAAGACTTGGACAGCTCCACTATGGAACAACTATTTTAGTACTCCATGGTCTGCTGTGGCTTTCTTGGCTGCAACTTTCGCACTGCTTCTCACCATCATTCAAACATTTTTCCCTTGATAATTAAGCAAATTAGTTCAAGGTAAATTTTTTAAAGTTAATTGTTTTTTTTAATTAACTCAAAAGAAATTAATTTAATTGATAAATATATGAATTCAGTCGTTTTTTCCCCTCAAATTGGGTCTTTTAAGACTTAAAACTGGTTCTCCATCTTCCATTCCAAAATCCCTCCGACATTCCCCTGGCTTTGAAGAGTCTTGCCACCGCTCTTCATTGTTGGTTCCGTCGACTAGAGATGGCATGTGGGGTTCTTAGCTTATTGAAATTACAGAAAAACAGTGTGTAATTATTATAAATTATGGAGTACATCAGTGTAATTTTTCTATTATTTTTGTTGCATGTATTGTGGGAGAAAAGTTTGTGGTTTATATAATTTGGAATAGACCCCTCCAGGTCAATTAATGTAGTCTGAATTATTAGGAAGATGTGTTATCCATACAGAATCCACTCATCCAATCAAGAATTTTTTTTTTATTTATCATTCTTTTTTCTTATTTGTTTTCAAGTTAGAACCTGATTGTTTGAAGTCAATAAAGAGTATTGGATCGTCTCTGTCTTTCTTCTAACTCCGGTTTAGTTTCTTGAATTGCGAAATTAATCGAGTGTGTCAACCGATCAAAAATGGCAAAAAGTGATGCTGATGAGTTGAAAAGAAGAGAGGAGAGAAAAGAAGCTGGTCAATCAGGTGTTGAAATAATAAAAAATGATGAGTGGAAAATATTCATAGTTGAAGAGAGACCCATTGCATCTTTACAAAAGGTTCCACGAGAATTAAGGGAGAGGGAGGAGAACAAAGGATTATTTGATCCTAGAGTGGTTTCTATGGGTCCCTATCACCATGGCAAGCCTGAGCTTGAAGAAGCGGAAAAATTCAAGAGCAGAGCGGCGCGTACATTCATAGCTGACAGCAACCGAGAGCGCGAATTCTATCATAACATCTTGGAAGTAGTCAGCGATGCTAGGAAGTGCTACCTCCTGGCTCAACAGATACATATGACGACCAAGCATTCGCCCGTATGATGTTGCTTGACGGTTGTTTTATCCTGCAGTTCATAGATGCTCACACCAATACTAGACAAAACGAGCCTTTTCTACTTGAACTGGCGAAGCAGGTAGGTGTTTCTGCTTACCGTGTCATAATTTCCGACATCGTGTTGCTGGAAAACCAACTTCCTTTCATAGTTCTCCAGACCTTGATTAGAACCAAATACCCAGACAGCAGAGGCGAGGAATTGATGGAGAATTTCATTCTCAAAGTTTATATAGATAACATGGCAACATGGACAAAAAAAACTTACAAGCATGAGAAAGTACAACCACCCCTTCATTTCCTAGATCTTGTGAGGAGAAGATTTCTCGGCCGCTACCCTCCCAAAGATGAAGAATTTAGCAGCGAGGAAGACAAAGATGGTCGTCGACTTTATTCCTTCAAAACAATTATTCCCTTCTTGCCCAGAAGATGTTCCGTCAAAACAATTATTCCCTTCTGGTGCAGAAGAGGGCATAGCAGGGACACCAAGAGTAAGGACGGAGATGCAATCAAGGATGCTTTCACTTACTCATTTCGATCAGCCAAAGAACTTAAAAGCAAAGGGGATACATTTCAGGCCTAGCACGACATTTTTTTTGAACGACTTTGCTTTCACTTCTAGATTTGGCTACGGACGCCTGACTCTTCCTCAACTCGTATTTGGCTATGGAATGAGGTACTTCCTGCTAAACATGATGGCCTATGAATTGGCCCCCTCTATAGAACTTATTGAGTGGGAGATATGCAACTACATATATTTCATGAATTCACTCATAAATGGAGCTGAAGATGTGATGGAGCTGCGAACACACGGCGTCATTCATAACTTCTACGGCACTGATGAAGAAGTCGCAAAAGCATTCAACTCAATGGCCACAGGTGGTGCATTTGTTTGCTACCAAGGCCCTATTAAAGATGCAAATGATGGAATACAAGAGCATTACAATAGCACGATGAAGACTTGGACAGCTCAACTATGGAACAACTATTTTAGTACTCCATGGTCTGCTGTGGCTTTCTTGGCTGCAACTTTCGCACTGATTCTCACTATCATTCAAACATTTTTCCCTCGTTAATTAAGCAAATTAGTTCAAGGTAAGAATTTCAAAGTTAATTGATTTTTTTAATTAACTCAAAAGAAATTAATTTAATTGATAAATATATGAATTTATTTTTTCTCATGGTAGCAGGTTCGGGGAGGACAGGGGAGCTAGCCAGTGGGATTCATAGATCCAACTCTGCTGCTATGCTACTGCTGTTTTTCAAAATATAATTATTTCATGTTGTGCTTAAAAGCAAGATTTCATGGGATGTTTATTATGTAAGAACGTCTTTAATGATGAATTCAATAAAGAAGTAAGCGTTGCAATATACCTTTATATTATATATATATATGTGTGTGCGCGCGCGGGGCAGTGAGATGCTTAATTTTGTTCCCTACCAGATTCAACTCCCTGGCCAATCTGTAAGCAGTTTTAACTGATAAATTACCATCAGCTGTGAGTTTCCATATTCTGCAGTCTTCACCACCAGTTTCTCTAAGAGGAACTTCATGGATGAGACCAGCATCTCTGCTATTGAAAGATTCTCTAATTGGCATAGTCGAGCTACTGTGCTGCAATTACTGTGGATTGTCATAAGGAAACTTAATTATCTGTCCTCTCCATTTGTGAACTTGCAGGATCTAAATGGTGGTACTTTTTGAGTGGCCAATGACAGAAGGCTTGGCATACGATTCATTTGTTTTCCTTCTTGCTCTTCTCTTCTCTGTGTTGTTGTATTGCTTTTATGTTGTCACTTAAAGTGAATGCAAATGTTAATTATTTAATTTTTGAATAGTGTAAACATACTTTATCTGTATATTGTATTCTGAGTTGGGACTTCTTGTGTCTATTTGTAAATGAGTAAGTTTAGAATCAATCAATCTTTTGGATTGTATCTTCATGAACAAATCTTGATCAATTAAAAGGTAAAAGAAATCTAGATGGACATCATATCTTGAATTTGTCATTTCATGTAATTGAGTGATTTAACAGGTTTCCCATTTATCTCAGCTATAAGACCTTTATTTTTACAAGGCATGTCAAAATTTTCAATGTTTAGTGCACTGGAAGGACTACATTGTTCGTGTTGATCAATATTTGATTAGAAGGCATTTGAAAATCAAAAGAAAGTAGATGGTGTGCAATTATTCACATAACACCAATAAAATTACACACCACTTCTAAAAGTCAAAAGCAATTAAGTAGCTAAATTTGATAGAGTTACCAAGAAAATTACACATCTCGCAAAAAAACAAAAAAGAAAAACACAACTTGCTCCAAACAAGACTCTTAAGCAGTTAAGCTACAGAGAAAGAGAGACGGAAAAAAGAAGAAGAGAGATTAAACAACTGGAAGTACAATAAATAAATAGCCAGTATAATTGACGGAATACAACTTCCTACGGAGTATATTATTATGTTTGATTAATTAAGTTAATAGAGCAGAATTATCAAAATCAACTTCAAACCTATTTTGTTCCAATAAAGATCTGTCTCTCTTTTTTTTTTTTTTCAACTCAAGTTTTATTGTGAAACCAATTGAACATGAAGGAAACAAATGGCAAAAAGTGATCAATTGAGCAACAATATTAATCTGGCAGAGGACAGAAAAGAAGCTGGTCAATCCAGTAGTGTTCACGAAATCAAAGATGATGGAGGGTGGATAACATCCATACTTGGAGAGAGACCCATTGCATCTTCAAGCAAGCAAATAATACCGGAGGTTCTACGATAATTAAGGGAGAAGGAGGAGAAGAGGGGATTGTTTGAACCTAGAGTGGTTTCCATCGGTCCCTATCACCATGGCAAGCCTTTGCTGAAAGAAGCAGAGAAGTTGAGGGCTATAGCAGCATATGCATTCTTAGCTGACAGCAAACGAGAAACCAATGAATTCTACAAGAAGATCTTGGAAGTGGTCTGCGATGCTAGATAACATGGCAGCGTGGACAGAACAAAATAATACTAAGCATGAGAGAGAACAACCGCTTCATTTACTACAACTTCTGAGGAGAAGATTTCTGGGTTACTCTGGTCCGATAGAAGAAAAGAGAAGCAGTATTAGGGTACATGATGATCATGACCAACCACATTGTTGTTCCTTCGAACTAAATCCCTACTGGTCCAAAAAATGGCATAGGGAGAGCAGGCTGCTGCCTAAGGACCCAATCAAAGATACTTTCAGTTACTCATTCCGTTCAGCCACAGAACTCAAAGCAAGGGGGATATATTTCAGGCCTAGCACCACATTTTGTTTGAACGACTTCACTTTCACTTCTCAATTTTGCTACGGACGGCAGGCACTTCCTTTACTCGCATTTGGCTATGGAATGAAGTACTTCCTACTAAACATGATGGCCTACGAATTGGCCCCCTCTGCAAAAATTAAAGACTGGGAGGTATGTAGTTACATATATTTCATGAATTCACTCATAAATGGAGCTGATGACGTGATGGAGTTGCGAACACACAACATCATTCATAACTTCTACGGCACAGATGAAGAAGTGGCAAAAACATTCAACGCCATGGCCACAGGGGGTGCGTATCTTTGCTTCGAAGGCCTTATAAAAGACGTAAGCGATCGAATACAAGAGCATTACAATAGCACGATGAAGACTTGGATGGTTCCACTATGGAACAACAATTTTAATACTCTCTGGTCTGCTATGGCTTTCTTTGCCGCAACTTTCGCACTGCTCTTGACTGTCCTTCAAACATACTTCCAAATTTATCCTCTTTCCTCAAGTTAGGGTAAATTCAGATTTTTTTCTTTTGTTTTACTTTTCTTCACTAGGTAAATTACACACAAACACATTTGTTTCTTTGAGGACTCGAGCACTTAACCTTCCGTTTAAAAGGAAGATTGAACTAAGTCCTTGGTGGTGGATTTTGTGTTTTCCTCGTATCACCACATATCACGAATTCACAACATCAATTTAATACTCAAGAATGCTTAAATCATGTTATTTCTTTTGATTAGATTATAAGTTTTACAAACCTAGATATGAACTATAAAAATTGCATCTCAGTAGCTTTGCCCCTTTTAGAATTGTTGGTTTAAAATTGTGAATTGTTATAAAGCAACTTCAACTTAATAAATTGCCCTCTCTATTTGTGAACTTGCAGGATCTAAATGGCAGTGCTTTTGAGTGGTTTAAATCCTAACTTAAAATCCAAAGTTCAGCACACTCAGAATGAAGTAGTGGCCAGTGACAAGAGTCTTGCATAGGTTTGGGAGTATGTGAATCTTCTCGAAAGACAGAGTTCCACACTCAAACGATGCTTTTTTTTGCATCATTACCAATTAGGTGATGGATGTCCCGAGATAGTTTTTATGTTGAACAGTCACTTATGGTGAATGTATTGATTAATTATTTATTTTTTAACTAGAATAATATGTTTTATGTGCATACAGAGTTAGACTTCTTGTGTCTATTTGTGAACAAGTAAGTATAGAATCAATCATCTTTTCGCTACAATAGCGTACCATATGTTTTTCAACATGAACTCTAGGCTTAATCAATTTTTTTATTTTCTCTTCATGAATAACATCTTTTTTTAAATGAATAGGCAAAAGAAATCTAAATGGACATCATCTTGAATTTGGCATTTCAGGTCATTGAGTGATTTAACAGGTATCCCATTCATCTCAGCTATAACACCTTTATTGTCACAATGTATGTCAAATTTTCAATGTTTAGTCCACTAGAAGGACTACCCAGTTAGTGTCAATTGGAAGGCATTTGAAAATCAATTGGTTGCAGACCGTTCTCTAATATTCACATAACACCAAGAAAAGTACACGCTGTCTCCCAAAAAATCAAATGCAAATGATATGAGACAAATTGCTCCATGAATTGACTTCCGAGTCGGATATTCAGACAAAAATATTCATCATCTCAAAAGTGTCTCAAAATATTCTACGAAGCTAACTTAAGGTTAAGTGGAAATATTTTGCCACCATAACAATGCCTCTGCCATATAAAGGAAAAAGATAATAGAGGAATCCAATTCTCCAACCCTATAAATCAAAATTGGTGTGATGGGATGCATCCCAAGGAGAACCGGCAAAAGCAAGAAAATCAACTAACCTTTGATAATTGGATTACTTTTTCTCAACTAGTACTAAGACATACCTCCAAAATTAATCTTAGAATCATGGTTGTTTTTACTGGTAAAAGAACAACCAATTATTGAAATTAACATTAAACAAAAATTTCATAACTCTGACATAAATATACAAAAATATAATCAACATGAATATGAAAAATATACAAAAATATAATCAGCATGAATATGAACCTGAGAAGATTGTTGAAGTTAAGATTTTGCCAACATGGATTGCTCACTGATATGTAGTGTGGTGGGTACACCTAGTTTTAAAATATATATATATCAATGAATTCAAGAACAATATTGGTAATCATACTTATCAGGGAAGAAAAAACACATTGGGAATTCACTAAATTGTTAATATAATTACTTCTATAGTATTGCTGTGGATATCTTACCTGTGTAAAGAATTTGTCTTACATCCATGTATACCAACTTAACACCACATTCTCCCCAATAAGTACATCATGAAACTTCAATGCAACTGCAAGCTGGCTGCCTTTTTAGACCTTTGTCCTTCATTCACAACCTCACTTTTGCAGCTTCTCTCCATTTTCCATTTGAAGCATATATGTTAGACAACAAGAACTACGAACCAGCATTTTCTGGTTCCACCTCTCTAAGTTTCTTTGCAGCCAACTTCCCTATATTTGCGTTATCATGAACATTACATCTGGCAAGAAGAGCCCCCCCAAACACATGCAGATGACTTAGTTGGGAGCCTCTCAATGAATTTAAAAGCCTCTTCGAGTCTTCCTGCCTGCCCATAGAGATCAACCAAGCATGCGTAGTAATCTTCTCTCACGTGGATAGACCTGTTTCTCACCATCTCATCAAAAGTACTTCAGCCCCTCTTCCACAAAACCGGCGTGGCTACATGCAGAAAACAACCCCACATAGGTGACATCATCGGGTTTGAACCCTAAATTTTGCATGTCTTTGAACAAATCGATTGCCTCTTTACCACATCCATGGTGGGCATAGGCTGCAATCATACGATTCCAAGAGACCAAATCCCTTTGGCTTGTCAACCCATCATCAAACATTTTCCTAGCTGTACCTAACTCCCCACATTTTGAGTACATGTTAATGAGTGCAGATACCACAAATGCACTGCCTTGATAGACTGTTTTGAAAATTATCTGGTGAACTTGCTGCCCCTCACCAAGACCAGCTAAATTACTACAAGCACCCAAAACAGTCACAAAAGTTCCTTCATTAGGCTTTACCTTATTGGAAGATTGCATTTTTGAAAAAATCCTCAAAGCCTCTTCACTTTGACCATATTGGACATACCCAGTGATCATCGTTGTCCAAGAGATTACATTCTTTTGAGGCATCTCATTGAACAACTTTTGTGCCCTTTGTAAATCCCCATTTTGGATCAATCCTGTGATAATTGCATTCCATGAAGGGAGATTCCTCTCTGGCATCCTATCAAACAAATCAAAAGCTTCATCTAACATTACATTCTGTGCATAACCCGCAATCACAGCATTCCATGAAGTCACATTCCGCTCCGGCATGCTATCAAAAAGCATCCGAGCTTCTTTAATCCGCCCATTTTTTGACAAGCCCACAATCATTGCAGTCCAGGACATAATGTCCCTTTCAGGCATCTGATCAAAAACCCTCCATGCCTCATCAATCCTCCCACTTTGAGCTAAACCCATTATAATAGTATTCCAAGAAACAATATTCCTCTCTGGCATTTTCTCAAACAGAATCAGAGCTGAATCAATTCGACCATTTTGCACATAGCCATCAATCATAGTGTTGCAAGAAACAACATTCTTGTGAGGCATTTCATGGAATAGCTTCTCTGCTTCCAAAATCCAGTTCTGTTTTATATAAGCAGAAACCATAGCTGTCCAAGTGACCACATTCTTCTTGGCATCCACCCTATCAAATAATTTTCTTGCTTCTCTAATCATCCCACACTTGATGTAACCCAAAATCAGAGTCTTCCATGTAATCACATCTGGCTCAGGCATTTTGTCAAACAACCTTCGTGCCGCGGTAATTCGACCATGTTGCACAGACCCATAAATCATGGTGTTCCAAATAATTATATTTTTGTGAGGCATTTCATGAAATAACTTCTCGGCTTCCAAAATATAATTCTTTTTAATATACGCGGAAACCATAGCTGTCCAAGTGACTGCATTCTTCTTGGCATCCACTCTGTCAAACAATTTTCTAGCTTCTCCAATCATCTCAAACTTGATATAACCTGAAATCACAGTCGTCCATGTAATCACATCTGGGTCAGGCATTTCGTCAAACATTCGTCGTGCTTCGGTAATTCGACCATTTTGCACATACCCATCAATCATAGTGTTCCAAGTAACAATATTTTTATGAGGCATTTCATGGAATAGCTTCTCTGCTTCCGAAATACGATTCTTTTTAATATATGCAGAAACCATAGCTGTCCAAGTGACCACATTCTTCTTGGCATCCACTCTATGAAACAAATTTCTTGCTTCTCCAATCATCCCACACTTGATATAACCCGAGATCAAAGTCGTCCATGTAATTACATCTGGGCCAGGCATTTCGTCAAACAACTGGCGTGCCTCGGTAATTCGACCCTCTCTGCTGAACTCCGTGATCATTCGATTCAACCGACCCACATTTTGATTGACTGTACAATCTATCGCGGGTGTGGATGATTCTCCAATTCCGGGTCCACCCATTGAGTGATATTGATGGAATTGGGATTCCCATTGAAGCTTGAGACTGCATAGAATGACGACGAGGCTTTGAAGAGAATTCGGAAGGTGTAATATGGTGAAGTTGGCACTATGTCTCAGAGTGACTGACAATCGTATCTTAAACAATGATAGCATTTCAGCCAAACATTTAGTTTTGCAGATACAACAGAATAATTTTTGTCTTCCATAGCAACATCAGCGAATGGTTAGAATTTGAAACAGTCAGTAATGGTGGTGGGCTGTTTGATTTTCATTGCCTTTTAAAATTAAATACTCCACTAAATATAAATTAGAAAAATTAAAACAATCTTTTAAACAACTAAATACTCCACGATTTTACCTGCTTTAACAAAAAAAAAAAAAAATTTACCTCCCAAAAAAAACTAAATATAATTTTAGGCATTATATGATTTTTTTTTTTTAATTTTTTATTCTCGCAAATAACACAAAATTATGATTGAATCATTGGCTTATTGCGATTGTTAACACAGTTATTTTTTTGGTTAAATTATTATAGTAAATATTTTTTTACATATGAAGTGATATAATTATTGTAATAATTTGTTATCATATAATTAGTGTAATATAATTAATCCTTTTTATAAGGTTGTTGAAGATTTTAGTGATATTGATGGCAATATAATTTTTTTTTCAAGTTAAACCGTATTAAATGATTTAAGGCTGCATTTGATAATATGAAATTAAAACATTAGAATTAAAATTGAAATGAAAAAAAATATTTAGTTCAATTTTTTAAATTATTTTTTACTAATTCAACTAATTCCAATTCAAATACTTCAATTTTATTACTGCCAAACATAACCTAAAATGATTCATAATTTCATTCTTTAAATTAATCAACAATTTTGATTATTTTTAACACTTGTTAATCTAGTAATCTTTTTTTTAAAAAAAAGAAAAAGAAAAATTGTCCCTAGAAACTCCGGCAAACAGACCATCTTAAATAAAATTTAATTTTTGAAAACAAAAATCTTAAATAAATTGTTAAACTTGTAAATACTTAATAGAAAATTAGATTAATTTTAATTTTAATTTTTTAATTTTATTTTTTAATTTTTTATTTTTAGCTTTTAGCTTTATAGTAGAAAGTTAGATCACCTGTCCAAATAAGAAAATTAGACCCAAAATGGGATTCATAAAATCATCAGATAAAATTTGGATTTCTAGATTTCCCGCTTGTTTTTTTAATCGCCGTTTCATTTCAAATTCTGTGTCTGCGCACACACACATCATCTCTCCCTCTCTCCCCTCTCCCTCTCTCTCTACATGGCTCCACGCTTCGTCTTCCCCCAAAACCTCCAAGCCCTCGAGGAAGACTACGACGATGGACGTCTCTCCGCTCAAAACCCCACCACCATCTCCTCACTCCGCTCTTCGGAACTCGAAGAATTCGTGAAAGGTCAGTTTAATCCCTCATCAATTCTACAAAATTCCCCAAAATATTCCTAATTTTCTATCACATTTTCATTCGCTTTTTCTTTTGATCAAAACAGGTGTAACATTTGATCTCTCCGACAAAGAGCTCTTCTGTATCGAAGACCCGGATTTGTTCGGTCGCGTGTACTCGCTGATTAAGGGTTTCACTAGTCTCACCCCAGCTTCTAAATTCAATCTCGTTGAGAGTCTTCGCTCCAATCTCAGCGTTCTGCTCCCAAATGTCGATTCACTCTCAAGAGCCTCTCAGGCTCAGGACGATGATGAGGTTCCGGCACTCGATCGGGTTAATTCGCATCGAAATGCATTCAAAATTTACACCTTTTTCCTCATCCACATTGTCCTTGCTGAGGAGAGCAACGTTAATTCCAACAACAATTCCAAGGTACTCTCTCTATTGTTCTTGATAAATACTTCACGTGTATATATTTACACACACACAGTTTCGCAGTTTACACACATTCCTGTTGTTTAATTTGAAGGATTATTGATTATGTGTTTAGGTAGCAGCAAGCACTCGGAAGAAACAGCTTATAAATTCATGGAATTGGGAATCTCAGAGGGGCAGAATACTAAATTTAATTGCTAATTCTCTAGAGATCAACCTTCCGTTGCTCTTCGGCTCTTCGGATCCAGATGAAAATTATTTGTCTTTCATCGTCAAGTAAGTTGGATTGTCGTTGTAATTCCAAGGTCTGATTATATATGTTTATATTATTGGTTTTCTCCTAATTTTAATTTTATTATGTTGAATTTGGTTGTTGTAGAAATGCATTCTCTATGTGTGAGAGTGTGACACTGTTAAAAGATTCAGACACAAAAACTGCTTTGTGTCGTATAATTGGGACTTGCGCCACCAAATATCACTACACGGCACAATCATGTGCTACAATTCTCCACCTGATTCACAAATATGATTTTGTTATCAGCCACTTGGCTGATGCGGTTGTTGGGGCTGAGAAAAAATATGCTGATGGAAGTCTGGCCATCTCCCTTATAAGAGAGATTGGGAGGACCAACCCAAAAGCCTATGTCAAAGACACTGTTGGGGCTGAAAATATTGGACGATTTCTTGTGGATCTTGCTGACAAGTTGCCCAAGTTGGTTTCAACCAACATTGGTGTATTGGTTCCACACTTTGGTGGAGAGTCGTATAAAATAAGAAATGCTCTTGTTGGTGTGTTGGGAAAGTTGGTTGCGAAGGCGTTCAAGGATGTTGAGGGTGAAGTAAGTTCAAAATCTGTTCGTCTTAGAACGAAGCAGGCCATGTTGGAAATCTTGCTAGAACGCTGCCGAGATGTTTCAGCTTATACCAGGAGCCGGGTTCTCCAGGTTTGGGCTGAACTATGTGAAGAACATTCTGTTTCAATTGGTTTATGGAATGAGGTAGCAGCAATTGCACCTGGCCGGTTGGAGGATAAGAGTGCCATTGTCAGAAAATCTGCACTCAATTTACTTATCATGATGTTGCAGCATAACCCCTTTGGTCCACAACTTCGGAGGGCTTCATTTGAAGCAACTTTAGAGCAGTACAAGAAGAAGTTAAATGAGCTTGGAACAAATGTCACATCAAAGTTGGATGGGTTACCACTGGATAACGATGCCTGCAATGGAGATGGTGAGGTTGATGATGTAAATACTGAAGGGACGTTCAGGGAACAGCAAGATAGTTTAACTGATAGCTGCATGCCTCATGTAGAAGATGGAATTGGTCAAAAGGATAGTTCTGTTCCAGATGTTGGGAATTTGGAGCAGACCAGAACCTTGGTTGCGTCACTTGAGGCAGGCTTGAGATTTTCTAATTGTGTATCTGCAACAATGCCAACCCTTGTTCAATTGATGGCTTCTTCTTCTGCCACTGATGTCGAGAACACAATTCTATTGCTAATGAGATGCAAACAGTTCCAAATTGATGGATCAGAAGACTGCCTCCGTAAGATGTTGCCACTGGTAATGCGTTATTCATCATCATGCCTTGGGTGTTGGGGCATAATAATTTATTCAGGGTCTTAAAATGTTCTATTTTTCTTAGTGTTATCTACTCCATAGATATTTTTTTTTTCTTAGTAAATGTTTGAAATGAACATTGATCTATGGGTTCTGGCTGTATACAGGCATTTTCCCAGGACAAATCCATTTATGAAGCTGTGGAGAATGCATTCATTACGATATATATAAGGAAGCACGCAGTAGAGACTGCTAAAAATCTTTTGAATCTCGCCATAGATTCAAATATTGGAGATCTTGCAGCTTTGGAGTTTATGGTTGGTGCGTTGGTTTCCAAAGGGGATATAACAGCTAGCATGGTATATTCCTTTCTTATAATTGAGAAGCACTTTTGACAAATTGTTGATGCTTCTTGAGCCATGTGAGTTAGGATCAAATGTCATTAATGATTTAACATAAAAAATTAGAAATTTAAAATATCATATATTCTCTATAAAGTCAAGCATGCATGCAGTTTCTTTTTCGTAAATAGCGTGCACATAATTATGATTATTTCTCTTAGCAGTTAATAAAATCAGTATTGCAATTTAATTAGGTTGTATGATTGTGATAACGATCATGGCACTATGAAAAAAATAAATAAATAAAAAGGAGAGAAAGAAAGAAAGAAAAAAAGAAGAAAAGAAAAATGAGATAAATGATGATCATTGGTACTTGAATTTCATGGGGCTCTTATTTATTTTTTATTTTTTTAGTAAGTAATTTCATGGGGATCTTATGCTATGGCACGTGAGCCGATGAAACCGGAAAGAAATTCCGATTCCAGGTTATAGCTTCTATTATTTGCTGAAGTTGATTTTTGCCCTTTTGGCTTCAAAATATGGTGTTCACTTGCCATGGACTGGATGTGGAACTATGTAATGACACTGTTCATAGATGTTTGCTGGCTTACAGAGCATCAGTTATCTTCAGATCTTGCCTAGACAGAGCTTTAATCAGTTAAACTAGTTGTTTTGCTAATGCCATATTTCATAGACCAACTGCTGGGGAACTGAACCAAAGTATTAGAATTGCATTCTCCAATCTGCACGTGGAAATAGCAGGTTATTACTAAGGATTGACATCGATGTTAATTTTCAAAAAAACTGGACAACATCGATGATGTGCTGCAGCATCATCCTGTCAAAAACCTTTGTTTTTCAAATTCTAATAGGGATTTAATTTTTGATCCCCTCCAAAATTAAATAACTTTTGAGATTTTGTGAATTACTGAATTTTATGTAAAGGAAAATGGTGAATATCTTTAATGAAACTCTAGGAAGTGATAGAGCATACTCACTGAAATATATTATCTTGAGGACTAAGTAAGGCAAATAAAAAAGTTCTGATATCAATGTGAAAGCAAGTTATATAACTAATGTAATCTTTGATAATATGAAGAATTAGCTTTCCTAATGGAGAAATGATTTTGATTTATGTGTTACAAATAGCAATATGCATATTTCTGTGTGAATTTTTTCGAAATATGTTTAGCAAGTGGAGAATTTGTGTTGTTTAGGACAATGTGCTTAATTATTATATGTTTAATTGGCTTGAATTTTTTTGAGGAGAATACTTGCTTTATGCTAAGTGGAAATGCTCAAAATGGAATGAACCACATTATTGGAAAGATGGGTTCAATGTGGACCAATATTGAAATTCAGCTTCCATTAATCTGAATTCGTGTGGTTCTGATAGAACTTATTGCATGAGAGAAACTTCATTGTTTTATTTTTCCTCTTAAGGTTGTATTATTATCGCAAATTTGATAAATCATGAGACAAGACTACTAAATCCATGATTTTGGATTAATCTGATCCACAAGCCCTCTTGTTGGACAACAGTTGCGTAGTTGACATTAAAGACTTGGGACTAGGATTGTATGTAGATTCTCCTCTTCTCTTGACCCAGAGCTCAAAAACAAATTCCAGAGAACCCGAAGGCAGAGCCTATTATTGTCAAGTATGAGTTCAAAATTAGAAACATAGAAATGTTTAATCGTAAACTTATCTAAACCAATTAACAAACATAAAGATCCAAGAACATAACTTAATCAAACCTGTGGACTATTACTACGTGCCTACTTCCCATTATGAAAAAATCATAAGAACACCAAAATACCCTTACCCCTAAGCCTTAATAGGAGCACAAAAATGAATCAGAAGCTTTTTAGCTCAAGGATAATATAGAATAAGGTTCAATGAGGACATATTTATGGAAGGTCCAAAGTTAGCATCTCTGTAATCAAAGTAACTTGCCCATAATTCCTTTCTTCCTGTTTTTTCCTTCCTGCACCTCTTTATCTGAACACGGATTCCTTACTGAATGTTGTTTTGAAATCAACTAATATCTCTGTGAAGTTCATTTCAAACCTTCTTATGATTGCATGAGGATTGTTTCCCAAAAGTTTGGATTATGCCTAGTAAGCTGCATTTTTCATCCTGGAACTTTTGTCCATCCTTTCTTCATTATGATCCTGCCTCTCTATCTATTTAATTTGAAATTTAGGTACAGTAAACAATGATATATAATCCTTGAATTCTATCTTCCTGTAGAAGATTAAAGTACTGAAGTCATATTTATTATTGTTATTATTATTATAATTTTATTTATTTATTATTATTATTATTTTTTTTGCAGATATCAGCATTATGGGATTTTTTTTGTTTTAATGTTAGTGGAACCACTGCAGAGCAAAGTCGAGGTGCATTATCTGTCTTGTGCATGGCGGCAAAAACAACCACTGGGGTTCTCAGTTCTCACTTACAGGACATTATTGATATTGGGTTTGGTCGTTGGGCGAAGGTGGATCCTTTGCTTGCTAGGACAGCATGCATTGCTCTTCAGAGGTTGTCTGAAGAGGACAAGAAAAAACTGTTGTCTAATAATGGTAGCCGAGTATTTGGTATTTTAGAAACTTTAATCACTGGGTTCTGGCTTCCAGAAAACATTTGGTATGCTGCTGCTGATAGAGCAATCGGTGCTGTATATACAATTCATCCAACTCCTGAAACCTTTGCAGCTAACCTGGTTAAAAGATCTTTTAGTTCCGTATTTAATAGTCATGGAGGAGACGAGTTGCAAAATGACATTGAAAGTGGTAGCTCCAACATCCTTACTACAGTTCAAGTAACAAAACTTAGTAGATATTTATTTGTTGTAAGCCATGTTGCTATGAACCAGTTGGTATATATTGATTCCTGTGTTCGGAAGATCCAAAAGGAGAAAGCAAAGAAAGAGAAAATGATTGCTGAGGACCAAAGTGTTCATAATAATGGCACTACACCTCCTGATGCACCAAAGGTGAGATGGATTTGTGATATGGTATAACTTAATTTATGGAACAAAATGGCATTATTAGTGATCTTTCTTTCCTGAGATATATATGTATTTTCGTGTATTCAATACCTTATTTCCGTTCTTGATTTCTTGCAGGATAATGGTATCAATGCAGAGCTAGGTCTTGCTGGTTCTGATGATGCAATACTTGATACCCTCTCTGAAAGAGCAGAGAAAGAAATTGTTTCTGGTGGTTCTACAAAGAAGAACTTGATTGGGAATTGTGCATCTTTCCTAACAAAACTTTGTAGAAATTTTGGTTTAATGCAGAAGGTGATTGATTAAATTGTTATCTACGTCAGTTGGTCACTACACACTTTAAGGGCATTTTTAATTTTTAAAACCAAGTATTATTCAAATGATTCAATTTTTTTGGTAAAATTTAAATGCATTCTATATTGCATAAATAAAGTGGAGCCGTGAATGAGTACTGATGGTTCAAAATGAAACTAGATATTGTTCTCAATTTTTAATTTCTTATATGTCAAACGTAATTTTGAATATATGATAAACTGATTTACTGTCTATTGAATAAGAAGGCCATTATGCTTTGTTGAACCTGCTTATGCAAGATGCTGCGAAGGAAGACTGGAGGTAGGCCTAAGTTGGGGTATTATTTTTATACAGGGTGGCCGCTCTTAGACTTGGATATGGCCTCACTTTGTCAGGCTGAGCTCTTACCATTGCATCATGCAATTAAAACAAATACTTTCTTACTATTTTTAAAAATTAAATTGAACAAATTAATATTTCCACGGTACTTATACACCTTATTTATGTATACTTAATTGTATTATTATTGTTGTTGTTGTTCTTATCCAAAATTTGTTGACGAACTAACTTGACTCCTTTTCTTTTGTAGCACCCTGAACTGCAGGCGTCTGGAATGCTTGCTTTATGTCGATTTATGATTGTTGATGCAGATTTCTGGTAATAAGATCTCAGTCTCTCTCTCTCTCTATATTGATATATATATGTATATCTCTGTCTGGAACAAATATTATGTCTAAACTTTCAACAACATGATTTTCCAGTGATGCAAATCTCCAGCTTCTCTTCACTGTCGTGGAGAGTGCGCCATCTGAAACTGTTCGTTCCAATTGCACTATAGCCATTGGTGATTTAGCGGTTCGCTTTCCTAATCTATTAGAACCATGGACGGAGAACATTTATGCACGGTTACGGGATCCTTCAGTTTCTGTCAGGAAAAATGCTGTATTGGTTCTTTCTCACCTCATTTTGAATGACATGATGAAGGTTTGAATCCGCATAACCACTCTGTCCTTTAGTTTTTTTGACTAGTCACTTAGGGTCTAATATTGACCATTGCTTGGTCAGGTGAAAGGCTTTATAAATGAAATGGCTGTTCGGATAGAAGATGATGATGAAAGGATTTCAAATCTAGTGAAACTTTTCTTTAATGAACTTTCGAAAAAAGGTAAGTTGTGTTGCCAAACTGCTAAATTCATACTGATGACTAACATGCATTATGTGTATGCATGTGTGTGGGTTAATGAAATGAAATTGATTCTTTTGTTTTTCCCCTTAATTCTGCCTTCAGGGAGCAACCCTATATATAATTTACTTCCTGATATTCTGGGCAAATTATCCAACCAGAACTTGAAAAGAGAGTCTTTCTGCAACGTAATGCAATTTTTAATTGGTTCCATCAAGAAGGTATGGATCATTTAGCTTAATCAGTAACAATAATTTGTCTTTGAGGGCATCTTTATGTTATATTTGAATTTTCTTTAGGACAAGCAAATGGAAGCTCTTGTTGAGAAGCTTTGCAATAGATTTAGTGGAGTAACAGGTACGGGTTTTGCAATTGTATAAGTTGTCTTATCGTAACATTTTCTTGTCTGATGCTGATTTCTAATGTGTTAGCTTTTACGGCATGAAATAGCTAAAAACATGGCACTGTGCTTTTTAGGTTGAACATCAACATTTGCCTGATGCTGCTAACTTGATATAACAAATTGCAACAAGCCAAAGTGGGATAGTTATATATTGATAGGTTTAGATTAGGATGACAGTCAGTTAAAGTGGTTTAGAAACTGTTTGTTGTTTTCCTGTTCTGCTCTGGTTTATGTAACAGTTATTTCTTATGTAATCAAAATGTGTTTGACCAAAGGGACCGTGCACATTTTTCCGAGAAGGGCCCCTATTGTCTAAAACAGTTCTCTCCCCATATTTTTTTTTATTAATTTTCTATTGAATGGTTTGCCTGCGGTGTAAGAAGCTGCTTTTAATTGTCTTAAATTATTATTTTTGGACAATTGCTTAATTTTCTTCAGCACTAATCCTGTAATAATTCACCTTATTGTTGCATATGCTGTTGGATCTAAAGAATTATATTTAAGTTTTAGGTGCTTTCCATTTGTGTATTAATGATGACTAAAGATTTTATTATTTTTTCTCCTGAACTATGGGACTGCTCTTTGGTGCAGATATTAGGCAATGGGAATATATCTCTTATTGCCTCTCTCAGCTGGCATTTACTGAGAAAGGCATGAAAAAGCTGATTGAATCATTTAAGATGTATGAACATGTCTTATCCGAGGATTCTGTTATGGATCATTTCAGAAGTATAATTAACAAAGTAAGATCTGTTGCAGTTGCTTCACCATTTTTATTGTTAAACTTATCCTTCGATTTTTCTCATTTATGGTTATGCAATCAACAACATGTTTCCTGCTTCACATCATCTGTAAATCAGGGAAAGAAGTTTGCCAAAGCAGAACTCAAATCATGCATTGAAGAGTTTGAGGAGAAGATTAGTAAGTTCCACATCGAAAAAAAGGAGCAAGAACTTACTGCCAAAAATGCCCAAGTTCATCAACAAAAAGTTGGTAGCTTGGAAAGAGAGGAAACTGCAGTCTCTGAAATTTCTGAAGGTAGGTGCATTTATATCCATACGTGTATATTACATCATTAGATTAACATAAATGGTTCAAATTTTAAGATATTTTATTGTCATTTTTTTTTTCCTGTAATCAATTTGGAATCAGTCAAGTGATTGATGTAGGTTTAGGTTTCTGATAAATATGAAAATTTTGAGACAATAAGTCAAAGAAGCCCAAAAGTTCTATGCTCAAATGTTTAATGAGACACAGTTGACATGTGTTTTATATGATAAAAAGGTTAATTGACTGTACTTTGAAAATGGTGTGAGTTCTGGCATTTAATTATTTGCAAGATGTAACTTAAGGTTCTATGGTGTTGAGTGATTCCCCACCTCATGGCTGTTTGCCAGTCACTAGTAATTGGGAAGGTCCTGAAAATTTCAGCTGGTTCTAGACGAGATATCCTGTACTGAAATAGTTATGATACTTGAATGATTTCTCACTAATGGCACTTTGTGCAAGGAAAACCTAAAGTCTAGTCTGCACCCATTGAATCCTTCCAGCACCCTGATTTGATGGATTCACCACTAAGCGACGGCCTTTTTGGTGATGACCAATGTTGTTAAAGGCGCGCCTAGGCTCGAAGCGCAGGTCTAGCGCCTGTTGTCATCCTAGGCTCATTGCTATTTACTAGGCGTGCGCCTCAGTTGCGCCTCATCCCTATTTGTCAAGCGCACCTCACTGATTTTTTTCTAAGAACTATGATTATTCTATTTCTTATGCCAAAAAAGGTACTTTTGGCAACTTAATAAACAAACAAGAAAGCTCAAGCGTACGAGAGAAGAAACTTTTGTATAAAAGAATAAACAAAAAGAAATTCCAAGAGTCAAAGTGTTAACCGAACAGAGAAAGAGTGAGATCGTGAGACGAGCGACGGAGACACGTTAGTTCTTTCTTCTTTTCTCTCTCTTCTCCTCTCTTCTTATCTTTGTTTACATCTCTCTTCGTCTAGTTCTCCTCTGTCTTTTTTTCTTTTTTATTTATTTTTTGGGTGGGGTGCAGGGGGCTCTGTTTTTTTCTCCTTTCTCTTCTCGTCTACTTCTCTCTCTTCATCTACTTCTTCTATCTCTGCGTCTTTTTTTTGGCTTTGTTCTTTACTTTTCTTTTTTTGTTAACAGTTAAATTTTTTTTTTTTTTGGTTAACAGATTTATTTCTTTTTGTGCTCTGTTTTGCCATTCAAAAAAATAAATTATGCTTTGCCTTTCAAGAAAACAAATTTGTGCTCTGTTTTATGATAGTTGGATGCTTGTTTAGTTGATGGGTTTACTTTTTTATATTTGACATTAATTTTTAGAATATTGATATGACTTATGAGATATGAATGTTTATATGGTAGTTTAAATTGTCAATTGTGTGCCTCACTTCATCAAAGGACCTCTAGCGCCTTGGGCCTTTAATAACACTGGTAATGACCTGCTGGGATACAATTTGCACTAACGTAGAACTATCTCTTACTGTAGTTGTTTTTTGGTAAGCAACATAGCACTATCTTAAGTTGTTCGATATAAACCTTTTACCAACTAGGAGCAATTTGTGATTCTAGGATTTAATTAAGTTTTGGTTGCTCCAAACTTGATCTTGTTTATGAAATTCTATTATCTTTTGAATTTTATTGAACATGTATCCAGTCTAGTAGCTTCAAATATAAATGGGGTTCAGGTATTGCAATGGGGAAACTAAATTTTGTAGAATATTACAAATTTACAAGTATACATTTTAATGCACCTCCTTAATGCAGCAGATGTTAGTCATTTACCAAAATAATGTTGGCTTTGTCCTTTTGACCATTCCATGTTTATGATGTTTTGCTGCTAAAACATCTTGTAACCTTGAATTCTTGAAAATGGAACAGATAACGAGGATGATCTATCAACAGAAGGGACGAGACTGACTCCACACGATGAATCAAAATCCAAATCTGTTGGGTCAGAAGAATATTCTCATGCTTCCAGTGAGGTGACGGAATCGGAACAAGGTGACAATGAAGTTCAATCATCTCAAGTTTATTCAAGAGGTAGTATAAGCTATCAGGTCTTTATAATTGCTTTTCTATTTTATATATTAGTGCACTTTCAGTAAAATGCCGGCATTTGCAGGCGCTTCTAAATGTAGAGCTAAGAATAGCAGCATAAAAGATCGAGTTGATACTACTATCTCTGCTAGAAGAAGTACCAGGTCAAAGAAAAGGTAACTGCCTCTTGATTTTGTTTTATATAACTTTGTATGTGTTGTTGGTTCTTTGGACCATTTTCTTAACAAGTGAATAAAGAAAAAGGCAAGCGAAGTTAGTTGGGTCATTTGAATGATGGTCTCTAGCATGACAAATACTCATTTGGGACCTAAGTCAAAGATACATGGGACGCTGTAAAGTGTCTGTATGTAATGGAGATTGCATTCATAAATCATGGCCAGTGTTTAGTAATAGGACCAGTATTAATCTTCTACTTTTGAATAATTGCAAGTTTCTGTCTCCAGCTTGAACTGGACTAGGAGTGTACTGTCCAGGTGCCCGTTCTTATCCTATAATGATTTAAAGTATTCATATAAACTGTATAACGTTGATTTTTTTTTTTTTTTTTTAACTATTGAATTTAAAGTTTTAATTAATTAATCACAACCAAAATATATTACAATAAAATTTCTAAAGCTTTGTATTTGCACCAGTTGTTACAAGGATACATTAGAATTGGTATCCATATGCTTTTAGAATACCTACAGATATATCCTAGCTTCAGTTGTTATGGTGGACAAAATCATTTGCTTGGAAAAATTAATAAGAAAGCAGTGGTATCTAGGACTTGCAAAATGGTGATAATATGTGTATTTCAGGGTTATCATTATTGGTAGAAACGACCTCTAGTAATTTCATTAAAAAAAAAATTGTGTTAACACTGAATATGACAAAAGATAAGAGAAATATATTGTTTGAAATACCATCTGGGAATTGACTTACTTCAAAATGAACACGCTATTCATGTACATGGAACATGGCTTTTTAATCATAATGTAAACCACAAGTAGTTAGTCCTTTTCTTTTTACACTTACCAGAGCAAAATGACTCACTTTGTCGTGATTGTAAGTTTGTAACTGGTTGAGACTTATATAAAATGTGAGATTTTTACAACCATGCAGGTAGAAAGAGGATAAAGTATTCAGACTCTGGTTCCTTTTTTGTCTGTGGAAGTGAAGAAAAAGCATTCCTTGTAATGGAGGTGCATGTGATATGTTTGACGTAATGTCGAACCCTAGTCTAAATGAAAAATCTCATCCTCAATATTGCTATTTTTTTATATTTGTAATTTATGGCTTGTAATAATATTTCACGAGTTCCTCAACTTGACTTTCATTTTTGTAGGTGGGGGAGATCGTAGCATAAGAAGCTTAAAATCAAACTGAACTTGGTTATGATATATATAGAGTTGATGAGTCCCCTGGTTGTAGTGACTGTGGCATGAAATGTACTGATAGATATATCATCTTCAATGTTCCACAGCATTATTGTAGAATTTATTAAACACCAGCTCTGAAAGGAAACATATGATAATTTTTTCATGTCTGCTATCAAAGACAATAATTTATATCAAGCCATATGAAAAACTCTCCTCTTTCTGATATAACAGCAATAGTGCGGTGCAATAGTAAAATTTCAGGTAGATAATTACTGTAAACGTTTACTATGCATGAAAAGAAATAACGTAAATAGTTTTGTTAGTTTTTTAGTCTCTCTCACACTCTACATGGTTCGGAGTATTATTTATTACTAATATATTATTTTTTCAAGTGTAGGTTTAATAAGTTATAAATTTCAAAAATTTTAAGTTGTTTCTAAATTGGTTGTGTTAATGCTTTAGCAATTTAATTTTAAAATAATGGTAAAGATTAATTCATAATTGTTTATAAACCATTGTCTTCACTTTGTATAAATTTGTAAATATGCAAGGCCAACAAAGTTACAAACATGTACATACATACTATGTTGCCGATATCTTTCATAATTTTACACTTATAAACATCTGTGTAAAAGTAATTTTAATAACAAATTACATCAATTATTTTTAAGTTTACGAATAATACAAATTTGTACACTGATATGGAGAGGCATGTATTTGACGTAAAGTCTTTGTAGTCTCACCACGCCCGCATAATAACAGAGAGTGTACCAAGTTTCAATAAAAAATATGTAAATATATGAAAGTAGTGGAAGAATAAAGATTCCAAAACAAGAATAGAAGCAAGTTTATATAGGCACAGCCCAAGAGCTCGCAACGACCAAATCAAATAGGACCAATACATCCCATAAATAGCCAACGTAAAAACATGTGTATATTTATGTATTTATAAAGAAAGGAAAGTGATAAAAGTCAGATATTTGTAACCATTAATGTATCATTCCTTTATTAAAATATTTTAAAAGTGAGATGTTTTATCTTTATTCATTACTAATTTAGAATTTTTGCTGGATACAAGTAATCAGAATATGATATGTCATTCATTCATTAAAACACTTTGAAAGTAAGAGATTTTATCTTATCCATCACTAATTTAGAGTTCTTATCAGACACAAGTGATTGGAGTAGGGAAAAAACCGATAGTCTAATAAGAATACTTGATAATTTATCTTATTAGCCTTGTCACCTGCCAAAAAAGCTAATCTAAAATTTAAAGGCTTTCTATTTCTATTTATTTATCTTAATTCAGTCATATTAAATAGGTACAACAAATCACATAAATAGTCAAATTAAATAAAATAAATATCCGCAATATAAAAACGCCCAATAAATCAAAATAAAAAATAAAAATAAATAATTTCCCCCAAAATTTTATTTATCATAAATACGGTGTAATAAATTATTTATTTATTTTTTAAAAAACAAATCACACGTGTGTTTAGTGAAACAGTCAAGTGTGATCTGTAGAGATAGAATCTGACAAATCCACTTTGCCAACACTCTCTTTCCTAAATTTCGCACCATAATTCCTTCTATATATACGGGGCCTCATATATTCAACTTTGACGACGGCGATTTCTCTCTCACCTCTGCATCGCCTGCTGTAGAAAATTTCAGCAATGGCTTCTTCTCTATCTCTCAGGTCATTCTTTACTTGTATCCCAACTGATCTCACGGACCATGTAAGTACATACACTCTATCTTTCTCTCTCTGTATATATATATATTTGTTTTCTGATATAACGTTCGAAGGAAAGGGAAAAAAATTCAAACTTTAGTTTTTATTTTTTATTTTTTATTATTTCATAAATTAAAATGGGAATATCTGGGAAAATGATATGTGTTTTATTTGTTTTTTGATACAATGTTCGAAGGAAAAAAACGAAAATTTGAAACTTTTTTTTTTTTTTTTTTCGCTTAAATTAAAATCTGGGGTTTTCTGAGAAAATGACACTTAAATTGAGCCTGATACAACTACTTGACGTATTTGGGTTTTCAACCAATTCATTCGTTGGGTTTTTCTTGTTTTGGGAAAGCCGAAACAGTAAGAAGCAACATATTGATTTTCTTGCTCTTTTTGTCTTTTATTTTCGTATGTTTTTCTCGGCAACCAAACGGAGGGGTAGGATTTGTTTCTGTTTCTGGAAACATTTGATGTTTTTTGTTTTATTTTCTTCAACCAAATTGTGGGTTGATATTTGTTTCTAATTGGATTTTATTAATTTTTAGGGTTCTATAACTGGGAATTTCCCAGCGAGTTTTGGGTGCAGAAACACATTGATTACTAAGGGGAGTCTCTCATTATTTGCTAAGAACTTTGAATTGAACTGCTCTAGAGACAAAGAGATGGATGTGACCACTTCGGCTTTGGTTGACAGTGTTGTTGAATGCGTGGATGGTTTGTTACTTTGGGAATGATATTGAATTAATAGGCTCTTATTTGTAATTATGTGTGTTAATATGGTTAATTCATTGCAGAAATGGAGCTTAAAGAGCCAAGTGTTTCGACAATGGTGATGAATTTTGAGAACAAGTTTGATCCTTATGATGCTGTGAGTGTACCTTTATATCAAACAGCCACGTTCAAGCAGGTAAGTTTATATACCTGTTTTACATACCCTACAATTGATGATTGTGATATATGTTAACTGTGTAACTATACAACTATATAAAAAATAAAAAAATGTAGACACTGAACGTGAGATAACAATGCATATATTTTAGTAAGGACATTTTCCTTACTTTGAGGCAAGAGTGATTTTCACTTAAAGTTAATGCACTGGTATTTGGAAGTTCATAAAGGTACTCCTCTTTCTTTGGGTTTATATAGGGGATCATTAGTGGGTAAAGACCTTTAGGACAAACAAGGAATGTCGGGTATAAGTTGACCGAATTGTTGACAATCCAATGGGATCAGATTATTTCAGACAAACATACTAGTCCTGGGTGGCTTTGCACTCCCGATCATTCAGCTTAGGAGAGCGCATTTAATTCGGTTAGGTTAAAGCTTGTGCAACATAAAATGTGCTAAGATGGCTAGGGTTCTTGGTGGGAAAAATGCTCCTCTAGAGGGTCAATGAGGTCATATCTATGATAACCCAATTTCTCAATGAGATCCAGCTACTCAACCACTTGTCTCTGGCATCCTGCCAACCCACTGGAATGTTTCCTGAACCTTGCTCCCAATTTAGGGGATTCAAATGGCACCTTTGAGTCATCCTTGAGGATTGTTGGTCCTTCAAGGGCCTTGAGAATGGACGTCAACCCCACGATTCCGGGCTTAGCTTGTCGTCGAGCCCTATCCACCATAGGAGAGGAGGTCATTGACAGAAAAAGTGGACATCAACCCCAGGACAACGGTCTCTCGCTGCAATTGAGGCTTATTCGTAAGAGAGGAAGTTTTCGTGTCTCTGGATCCACTTCAATTTGTATAAGTACTGCGAAACTTAAAACTCAAATTTTTCAGGGTTGTCCTTGAGGAGCGTGCCTGTCAATTTAAGCAGATTGTTGGATGCGAAGGGAGGACCCCCAAGTGTCCCATCTTCGATAAAGGTATACAAATATTTGTCAGATATCAAGTTGACAAGTTCCTATTTAAAACTGGCTTGTAGTTGATGTTCATGATTCAATAGGTCTACAACTGAAGATGATGATGATGAAATGACATCAAAGATTGTACAAAGAAATTTATTAAGCTCAATCATGTGGCTAAGGTAAATGTAAGATGAGACCTCAACGAACTTTGGACTTTCAATTGAATTAATATATTAGATAGAATAACCTCCTAGGACTTATGAAACATGGATACTTATTTATAGGGACATATTTGTATCAAGTTCGTGTAAGATACTTACCCCCCTCGAATACTCATGAATTTGTGTTAGATACTTCCTCAACATATTCATAGATTCCATTCTCTGAATATATATTCCTTTACTATGAACTCGTATCCGGTTCTTTTTAGATAATATGACCTCGTGTCCCATGCAATATATGTGCATACACATCTATATCTCTCTCTCTCTCTGTATATATATATATATATATCTAGAGAGATAGAGAGAGAGAGAAGTATGGTTGGAAAGAAAAGGAAGGCCAATCGAGCCTTAAAATAAGAAGGGAAAAAGAGACCAGCAAGAAAGAAGGAAGACTGCTTGGTGGAGAATGGGGCCTATATTTCTTAGCTTTGTGATCCATCACCACCAAAACGAGTTTATATTGTTAGTGTAATATAAAATGGGTACAAGATAGATATGCTACTCCGTTTAGTAAGAACTGAAAGAAAAAAACTTCACCAATAATGGACTTCTGGTAGATGGCTTCCATTGAAGCTTATCTACTTGTTGTCGCTAAACACAAGTTACACAAAGTGTTTCTTTAAATGGGCTTCTAATGTGTGAAGGCTCATTACCTCCCCCCGAAAAGGGGAAAAAAAAAAGAAAGGAAATAAAAGAAAATGCTATCTAGCACTTTATTGGAGTTACTTCTTTGTTTTATATTATTAGTGATTGAGGAGTTAGTGAAAGTTTGGATGGATGAATGTGAGGACTGGATTCAAATATGAGAGCAACCACTTTGTACAAAATAATCCCACAGTTTAGCTTTGTCTCCCCTCCCAGTATGTTGCCCAGGGCCAACACTGGGTAATCAAGTTTATATTTTGAAGTAATGAAAGAAGAAGAGAAGAATTTAAAAAAAGAAAACAACTTGACATTTTTGGAGAGAGAGATAAGTGAAGAAGAAAGAGAGATCAAAGAGTAGAGAAAAAAGAAGGGGATAGAGAAGACTAGAATGGAAAGGATTAAAGGAAGATAGAGAAGAAAGAAGGGGTATAAGAGAAAATTTGGGAGAGGGGGAGAGGTCTTTCAATTGATTCTGAATATTTTTTTGTCATGTACCACATGATATATGGCTTGTATGTATGTAAACTATCTCATGTAGTGATATAGTTTGAGGTTCTTGCTAATAAGAGAGAGAGAGAGAGATCTTCCAATTTGGTTCCTGAATATTTTTGTGTCTTCTGCGAGATAATTATGTATCACATGATATATGGTTTAGTGTGTATGTCTAAGCTATCTCATGCGAGATTATTTAGTTTGGTGTCTAAGTTATGTGACATGCTAACTTTTGCATCTCACTTCATGTCTTTTCATTTTCTGTTCTGCAGCCTTCGGCCACTCAAAATGGCCCTTATGATTATACTAGAAGTGGGAATCCCACCCGTGACGCGCTAGAAAGGTCTGATTTTTCTTGTTCTAGTTCCTAATTCAGTTGGTTTATATTTATTTTTGAACACCTTTGCTCTGTTCTTCCTCCTGTAATCATTATTCTCCTTGCATATTCTCAGTCTCCTGGCAAAGCTTGATAAAGCAGATCGAGCATTTTGCTTTACTAGTGGAATGGCTGCTTTAGCTGCTGTCTCTCATCTTGTTGGAACTGGTGCCTTTTTATTCCCTCTCTCTTCATTATACATACATACGTGTGAACATTTATATATGCTTGTGTGTAGTTGTACTATGTTCATATTATCTGTGGTTCAAACTGTCCGGATTCCTGGGAAAAACCCATAGGTGTGGTATGCCAATCTCCAGGATGGGGTATATTCTGTAACAAACTTGCATATGAGCTGGCACCATGGTTGATTGAGGCCGTGAAGTCTTTGCCCAGTTCATTACTTATATTGTTTTCAGATTTTTCACTACATTATCTGTAACACAAAATTTTTCTTAGCCTTCTTTATTGCTTTCCAATAGCCAGCTCTATAAACTGTATTTTATGTTTTACATTAATTGGTAAGGTGTCTTAACAGGTGAGGAAATTGTTGCTGGAGATGACATATATGGTGGCTCTGATCGATTGCTGTCCCAAGTAATTCCAAAGAAAGGAATTGTGGTTAAGTTAGTATCGGTTCTTTTCTGTTTACTAAATAGAGATACAAAAATTTTGCTGCAAGAAAAACTGAGATAATTTCGTTTACAATGTACAGGCGAGTGAATACAACAGACTTAGATGAGGTCGCATCTGCAATTGGCCCCTGGACAAAGCTTGTCTGGCTGGAGAGTCCAACTAACCCACGGCAACAAATTTCTGATATTCGTGTAAGCCAGTTTTATTTAAAATCACAATGTTAAATTTATAACAGCTATGGGATGTAAATTGACATTATTTTTAAAAGCACACATATAGGGTAGCAGGAAACTTCTGTGTTCATGGCATGAAGCTTCTTATGCATGTAAGGAATAAGTTGCTGTTTTATGAAACAGAAAATTAAGTACTCAAAAATTTTAAGAGCTGAATTTAAGTGCTGAAGTTTTAAGCGGTAATTGTAAGTTGAGAATTTTCTTGATACTTTTTTGGAATTGAAATGTTCAGCATTTAGTGAAAAGTGAAGGCATTGTCACTTAAAATTTTACCTCATTTTAAGTATCACTTTTTTTTAGTGATATCTAAATTGCATTATTAAATGTACTTAATTGGATAAACACTCAATTCATTCAGATTAAGTGATGAATTGGGTTGTTAAACAACACCTAAATTCTTCATGAGCACCCACGCATTACAAAAGTGTATGGTTGTTTGTTACATATATTTTCTTTTTTAATGAGTAAATATTTTACCACTTCATGTATGGAAGTAGTCCCTACTAGCCATTGCTAGGAATTTGTAAACCTTGTGGAAGTTAATAACCAGCTTATCCTTAAATATATAAATGCATTGCTAATTTCAGCATCCTGATTACAGTCATGGTTGCTTTCTTTTGCCTTGAGTGGAAATGGTTATATCTATTTTGGCAGAACTCAATTGTATCGCTCCCCTTCCCAATTTTGTTTAGATATTCCTCTCTCTCTTTCTCTCTCTCTCTCTCTCTCACACACACACACACACAAACACACACGTACAATTGCTGGGCATTTAGTCTCTTCTTTGTTTCTTGAGACTTACCGGTTTATTATTTGTAATTGACTTTAACTCATCAGATGTATTCTTAATGTAACTTGGTCAGTCTTGTGGGTCTTTGATTATTCTATCTTACCTTGGTATCTTAACCCTTGCATGCATTTTCTTGGTTTCTTAATCCTTACTACTGCTAAGTCTGCTATGAAATTGTTACATCCAAATTGTCTGCTTGTGGTTTTCACTGATAAGTGATAAGTAAACATATTGACAAACTCTTATGGTGCACTTCACCTAAAGTAGATTGTCAAGGGTTGTATGCAAAGTAGACATTTGGATTACTGCTGTTTCTCTGAGAATTCTTGTTGTACATTTAGGATCCTATTTCTTTGGCGACAAGTGGAGGATTTGTATTTCTAGATGATCTCTCTGGCCACACTCTATGTTTTTTGGTTGACATCTCTTTTTAGTTTCTGTTGAGGGAAAGACCCTCTTTTTAGTTGCTGTAGAGGGCTATATAGCCTTTTTTGGTTGACCTTTGTAAAAAAAAATTTCTTCACAACTCTCTCTCTCTTCCCCTTGTGTTCGTGTCATTAATGATAATGCTTTAAATCATAACAGATTTAATGTACAAGGAAAGAGGGAAAATGTTCCTTGATCTTTATATAGTTGGATGCCCTTGATGCATATTTTTTCCCCATGAAATTATTACTAGTGTAGGAAGGTACAAAATTTATTTATTTTTAATTAGAATATTCTTTTTCATGCTTACCTCCATTTCAGAAAATAGCAGAGATGGCTCATTCTCATGGTGCTCTTCTGTTGGTGGACAATAGCATTATGTCTCCTGTACTGTCTCAACCTTTGGAACTTGGAGCAGGTATAAACAAAGTCCATGGTGATGTAGATTTTAGATCTTACAAATTCTGCAGTATTCTCCTTCAATTGTTGTAGTCATTTTTGATTATTCCATCTCTTTTTCAGACATTGTGATGCACTCTGCTACAAAATTTATAGCTGGACATAGTGACATCATGGCAGGTGTGCTTGCTGTGAAAGGGGAAAGGTCGTACGTCTTTTCAAGACAATGTTTCCATTTGTTCAATATATCACATAATGCATCGGCCACCACTAACGATAAGTTTCTAAATGTTCTGTGGTTGGAGACGTCATTACCAAGTTTTTTTTATCCTCATCATCACAATCAGCATCGATAAAGTAATAGAAATAATGTAATAACCATTAATAAATGTTTTGAGTAATAGTAATAATTAAAGTAACCACTACTACAAGATTGATTTTTGGAATGCAAAGAAAACTGGGAATGCATATAATTTTGTCTAACAAATTATTTATTATTGATGTTGCTTAAATTTTACATTGATTTTGAATGGTTGGCATTTTATGCCAACAGGTTCGTTGTCGTATTTGCCGTGTTTGTTCTTGATGACTTATTTGGTGCACTTCAGACTTCAAGTGGATGTCCAAACAAGTATTATTGTAAATAATTTCAATAATCATGGATACACATGGTCACATATATTTGTTACTTACATGTAGGGTTCAAAGCTAGGATCCCTACTGCAATACCTTCTTCTGTTCATTCGAACCATATCATTTGTAATTAACATTTTTTATTGCATTTCTTTTGTTCATCAGCTTGGCAAAAGACTTGTATTTCCTGCAAAATGCAGAAGGCTCTGGGTTAGCTCCATTTGACTGTTGGCTTGCTTTGCGAGGCATTAAGACTATGGCTTTACGTGTTGAGAAGCAACAGGTGCTACTCCCAAAACCTTGTTTAGTTGAATGTTTATATTTATTCTTTGGGTCTTTGCATTAACACATATCACTGGTATTTCTGTGATATTCTTATTTACTCAATCAAAACCTGGTGATGGTTCCCGAACTGTCCAACTGTGAAAGCATCAATCTATATGCCTCAGTTAGTATCCAGTGATTTATGAATCATCTGGGTTTTTAGTCAATAGTAGCTAAATAAATGAATAAAGGCAAATAATATGAAAAAGAGATGATGTCACTATGTGTAAAGACTCACTACATACCGTCATATCTTTCATTATTGGTCGTTTCTTATGTCCAATAGATGCTAATTCACTATCCCATGAATATTTTCATTTCTATTTTTTTTTTCTTACCACACATCCATATTAAGATTTGCATTTCTGTTTTGAAATAGTTAGAAGTACCAAATAAAACCAGATTAAAACTAGGAAATTAGTATTTACATGATTGTATGAGAATGTGAGTGCTAAACACTTGTCCCTTTGAAGAAAATTAAAAAATAATTAAAAAATTGGTTGATTGGGAGATCCATTGCAAGATATACGTTAAAAATATAAATAAATTTTTCATCAAATGACACTTCCATATCAGATTTGGGTGAAAAGGAAAACAAAGAACAAAAGTTAAAACCAAAAAAATTACTGCTTAGTTGAAAAGTTGGAGTGGTTTGATCCAAGATCTAGTTCAAGTTCTTGTGTATTTTTGAGGTTTAATTCCCAAATCTAAGGTTTAGGTTGAGTTCAAAGCTAGCAGAGGGCTGTTATAGAGAGAGAGGTTGAAAAATAAGGTCGAACATGTCAGTCAGCTTAAAGAGCCAACTGGGCCGAGTTTCTATACATCGGCTGATATTGGAACAACTTGACCGAGGGACCTCGAGTCTCTACACTGTCATTGCCAACGTTGTAGCGACTCAGCCAAGTCATCTCAATTCTCTATCGAGTCAACGGTGAATTATATTCACAATGACATATCGGATCATAAGGGACTCAACTCCTGCCATGTTTATTACAACCTGGCCAAGTCAGTCCGCGTCGTTCAGCATGTACTATGTAGAACCTTGTTAATGATGTAGTTGATCTTCGCTAATTTCCTCTAAAGGTATATTTGATGTGTGAATGCTAATTTCCAAAGTAATTATGAACGTATTTGAAAAGAAATGCGTTGACTTTTGGCAGGAGAATGCACAAAAGATTGCTGAATTTCTCTCATCCCATCCGCTGGTGAAGAAGGTTAATTATGCCGGTCTTCCTGGTCATCCTGGACGCAAGTTGCACTATTCTCAGGTTCTGATTTGGATGGAGCTTTGAGATTAATGGTCAAAGTCAACTACCTCTCCGCTCTTTCAATTTTAAAACTCTCATGATTTATATATTGCAGGCAAAGGGTGCAGGATCCGTACTTAGTTTCTTGACAGGGTCATTGGCACTATCGAAACATATTGTTGAGACTACCAAGTACTTCAGCATAACTGTCAGTTTTGGTAATTGTTCTTCCCACTCAATTTCATGCATGTTTGCTGAAATTTTCTCTACTATCGAACTGGAAATCTTTTATTTGATTAAGAGTTTCTATTAGAGCCTAGAGGTATGATAATTATACTTATACATGTATAAATTGTTGATGAGGAAGCTAATTTGATCACATGGAGAAACATTATAATGTTTTATGATATCATAGACTGGATGTACAGAAAAGGTTGATTAAAGTTTTTAAATTAGTTTGTTTTGTGCTTAACTTTCAAACAGCAAGTACTTAGATGGTTTATCACATAATGTGCGACAAGATTCACCTAAAATTTCTGCTTATCAAAAAAAAAAAAAGATTCACCTAAAATTTCTTAGTGAAATCAAATAAATAAAACGTGAAACAAAACATGTAACTTCCATTTCCATGACTGATGGAAGTGTCAGATATTCATTTCTTTATATCTAAAATTGGAATAAGAGTGTAACACGGGCTGGTGAAGTGGTCAGTCCATGTTCAACTCAAGGTTATGAAACCTTTAGATAAAACCTTATTCAACAACTTTCAAATATGTCAGCTCTGGTTGAGAAGTTCAGGTTGAAGATCTGGTTGAAAAATGGGTTTGGTTGGGGCTGGCTTCGGATTGGCAGTAATTGAAGTACTATAAAAAATTTCTGAAAATAAACAAATAAAAACCTCATCAACTACCATCTGGTTACGTAATCCATTCAAGATAAGAATTTATACAAAAGATATGGGTCATTATCCAGTGTGGTCCCCCTCAATCGAGGCTCTGGGAGAGGCAAATTGGATACAAACCTATTTTTTGACTGAAAATAGGTCGCTTTTCAAGTAGGCCTTGGTGTAATTTTCCATCATTTTTGTGTCACATTAATAATACATCTTTGAAGTTCTAAAGTTTTAAGGTCAGGTTTCATTTGGTAATAATTGCCCTGAATGCAATTTTTTAGGTGCCCTTGCAATTCAGAGAAAGTAAATAGTTAGGCTCCCTAATTATGTAGAAGAGGGTATAAATAAAAGAAGATTTTTTAAATTCCAATACAGTTGCACTACCCTTTCCTAAAATCTGTTAATGAGAGAAATCCCTTACCTTTTTTGGTATATCTTGAAGTTCTCTTGATCAATTCCTTGCTGTAGAGTTCGTAGTCAAATTCCAACCAGGAATTTGAATTATCTTAACATTGTTTTTTTATTTTTCTTTCTTTTTCACTCTTTTTGTTGCTTTTGTATCCTTTTTAGCTGGATCTAGTGTACCACCAGCCATGTGTGGTGATATGGTTTAAGATTGAGGCCCAAGTTGGGTTTAAGCTTGTGATTTATTTCAAGAATGATGGTTTGATGAGATAACGATGTTTCTTATAGTAGTAACAGATAGAAAGTGGAACATATCTTATGCTGGAATTCTATTGCATTATCATAGAAAAGAATGTCATGTGGCCGATTTGGATAATGCATTCTTCTCTATGATGCTAAGGATAAAGTAATTTTTTTACTTGCACTCACGATGTGATTGTGCTTTAATGCCAGGGAGTGTAAAGTCTCTCATAAGCATGCCCTGCTTTATGTCCCATGCAAGCATACCTGCTGCAGTGCGCGAGGCCAGAGGTCTAACTGAGGATCTTGTTCGTATTTCTGTGGGAATTGAAGATGTGAATGACCTGATTGCTGATTTAAACAATGCGTTTAGCACTGGGCCCTGTGCAAGTGCTTGAAGATGACTGACCCTGAGGGCAGTTTTTACTTTATTAAGATAGCAATCTTGCAGTGACTTGAAATGTGAATGGGTTGGTCATATGAAAATTTGATAGTTATTAGTCAAGTGTTCTGAGAGAGTGAATATTTGCAGCCCAAATCAAGTTTGGATTTTGAATTTGTTTCAGCTCACATAATGAATTCTGAGATTCATTCTTTGTCTGAAAATATATTAAGATATTTTTCCTCGGCACAGAAAAATAAATAAAAAATCCGAGGCATAGGAAGATTAATTTAAGAAGCTGTGGCAAGGTCTTGTTAGTCATTTATTCTACCACAAAATTAATGTTTTCTGTTGTGTTAGGTGTAACATAGTTGTTGCGTATGTGATGTAGTGGCACATAATTGTACATGATAAAATGACACGCATGGTAGGAGACCAGGGTTCAACATTTGGAACTCCCATTAATTCAAAGTTGGTCTAAGGGATTTGGCTTAGCTCAACATGAATATCGAAGATTCTACCCAAAACTTCAAAGCTGAGTATCCTTCTGTTTAGATCAGCCATATGCAAAATGTTTATAGTGAATATGACTCGGTTAGGCCCAAAGTCAATTCAATACAGTTGAAAGTTATGGCCCAATTAAACTACTAAAGTCACTCCAAACACAAACGTTCAAAGGTAGAATTAGACTTTTAATCCCTGATATAGGAACATAGGAAGGAAGAAAAAAATGAATGGAAGGAGAGGGGAAAATAGAATATTTTCCTTTTCTTCGATCTAAAGTGTGGGCATGGGCTAAAACTTATTTTTTTTATTATTTTTTTTTAATTGGTGGATTCCAACCATTAATTACTCTTAAAAAAATAAGATCTGATACTACTAATGACTGGCCCAGCCAAAACTTGGGTTAGTCCAAAAAAAAAATAAAACTTCAGCGAATAAGGATTTGATTAAATTATGGTTGTTAGTCTGAATCTTTTGGTATAAAATATGTTATTTAAAAACTTATTAAATGATACACATGATGTCACATCATTACAGACATCTCCTATAAGATGTGCAATCTAAATATTAATTGGCCAATAAATAATGTCACATCAACATTTGTATCTCGTTTTACAAACGCTCCTACATCTACATCCGGATAAATGCTGAACTTAAAAAAATAATAATAATAAAAATAAAATAAAATTATGAGTGGAAATCACAAAGTGAAAAGCTTTAGGCAAATGAAAACATGATAATGCATTTTAACATTTCACTTGAAAATTTAGTACTAGCTGAAAATTAATGTTCTAGTCTAGCCGGAGAAAACACAAAGTGAGATTTTTATTTTTTCAACAAATAATTTGAAAGACTTGAAACTCCTTAAAGAGAAAAAATATCACTAAACTACATTATTTGCTAATTCCCAAAATAAGAATCATTACACAACAAATAATATAAATAAGATAATCCATGTAAATAATTTCTTCTTTATCCCTTGGGAATGATTGAAAGTCATCAAATGCCTGACAATCACAGTCAATGTATCTGGTTTTCATTAGACGGGGGGTAAACTTTATTGGTTAATGTTGAGCTAATCTCGATTAATTGATCTACGACAGCCAGTGATAAGTCACTTTCTTCCTTCATATAACTAAAATCAGCAAAACAAAATTAGAGTGGAATAATTTTCATGTAAAATGTTTACAGATCTCTCATCTTGACGATGAATCTCTCTGAGTCTTGATCTTTCTATTAACCAAGAACAATCAAAACTATTAACCCAAAGAAAAGGTCAAAAGAAAAAACAAAGGGTTATCATAATTCTCATTGTTCAAAAAAAAAAAAGAAAAAAAAAACTATATATTTGGCATGATTGATTAGACTACAGTGAGACCACTGTATCTAGGTCTTGTTCTGTCTGGTGAAAGCCCTTCTTCCATGGCCTTCCTCTTGTTATTGTTGGATTGTTGTTGTGATGGTGGTGATTGAACTTGTGGTGTTTCTGCTGCTTCTTGTTCTTCTTCAGATTCTTGGTTTTCTGGCTTCTGATGATCCTTAAATTTGGTTTTCATCATATGGGGTCTAAGCTTATTCACATCAGATAATCTCACAGGTTTCAGAAAAAATTCTTCTGCTCCTTCTTCTAAGCATCTGTCAATGTGATCAACAATTAATAATCGAATCAATTCACCTAAAAAATCATCAAATTTTCCCAGATTCCAAACATTCTTCAGATAAAGATTTTTTTTTCTTACCTGTTTATCCTTGAAGGAACATTCTCAGATGACATTATCACCACTGGTATGTCTCTTAGAGATGATGATTCCTGTAAAATAAATAAATTCCCAATTAATTTATAAATTTATTATTGGTTTTCATGGAAAATTTCTTCTAAATATCCTTAATTAAAATTTCTTAAATATAAATTAAAAGAAGAAAAGAAATAGAAAAGGTGGTTTCACAATCTCAATCATGTTTTGGATGGAAGTGGTTGAAATTTTTTTTCTAGAGATTCTCAATCATCTCAAATGGATGGTGAGAAAAATAGCCATGTAAGCAACCTTTAAAACTATGTTGATAAGGAATGGTAGAATGGGGTATGAAAAATTCTGTCATGGGCATATTTTCCAGGAAAGGAAAATGATGTGGGAAAGATTTGGGAGAAAGGGAAGAATATATCACAGGTAGAAGAAAAAAACAAAAGGAATATTTAAACCAAATCATACCTTAATTTTCTTGAGTAAATCATACCCTGTCATTCCAGGCATACAGTAGTCTGTAATAATCAAATTCACTTCCACATCCTGCTAAATCACAGGTACCCAAAAAGAGTAAAATCACTAGAAATTTCCAAGAACGCTTGAAAATTCTCAGCATTGAAATAGAAACAACAATATATATATATATATATATATATAAGAAAAGAAAGAAAAACAAATACCTGATTATTGTTTGGAGAAACAGAAGGTTGATCTGGGCTGCTTTGGTAATCTTCATGCAAACCAAGAAATTCTAAAGCCTTACTACCAGAATCCACTGTAGTGACTGAAATGAAAACCAATGGCTATAACAATCAGAACCATGATACGGTTATTTTTTAAAAAAAGAGCCATATGAAAAAGGCTCTGTTTTTGTTTGTGTGTTTGGTAACCAAGAAAGTACCTTGATAGGATGAGGTCTTGAGGAGCCTCTCAATGAGTTTTCTGTCTATGAGGCTATCATCAACAGCCAAGACATGAAACTGTGACTCTGTTGTGGCCATGCCCATTGCACCAGCTCAGAATTGAAGATCAAAGAGGAAACAAAGAAGAAGTGGTGGTTTGCTGCTGCTGCTGCTGCTTGTATTGGTGTTCCTTAATTTCTTGTTGATGGATATTGAGAATTTTATGAAGATGAGCTTTGTGTTGAAATAAGACCCACCAAAATACACAACCCACAAAGCAAGATCTGACCAGATTTCACCCAAAGATTTCCCAAAATTTCCAAGTTGATTTTGAATTACAAGGCAAGCAATGCACAGTATTAAAAATTAGTAAAGAAAGAGAGAAAGAACCAACAAATAAAGAATATAAATAAATCTACAAGTTGGTTCACAATATTGTATTGTATTGATTCTTGAGTTGGGTTTTTATTTATATATCTATATATATATATATATATACAAGAGAGAAAAACATAGTAACATATATAGAGGAAGAAGAGGTTTAAATTGGGATGCAAGCAAAAGGAGGATGGTTGGGTTGGGTTGAGAAGAGAATGGGACCCACAAAAATCCTCCCAAGAGATACAGGTGATGTCAGCAATGCTGCCTTTTCCCTGGTGTGAAATCATGTGCGCTTACCATATCTTGAGCAGGTGGGGGAGTGGCGCAAAGAGAGGGCAATTTCTTTTGATTCCCTTTTAAGATTTGCTTCCGATGCCCCCATTCAATGCTCCATCATATCCCATCTTCTCATTTCACATGCATACATTCCCATTCGTCCCTTTATATATATATATATATATATATATATATATATAATATTTTGTTAAGTTGGGTTAAATATGAATATTGAATTATTGATGATAAATGTATTTTACGAAGTATCATAGAAGGAAAATTTCGCAATAACAAATTATCATTTTTTGGTTTAAAAAATTGACAGTAACATGTTAAAATTAAAAAACATTTATATTAAGATTCTATTTGTTTGGACGTAAAATATTTTTTAAAAATTTTTTTTTTTTTATTTTTTGATGTTTGATTGTCGTAAAATATTTACGAAGAAAAAAATATTAAAATTTAATAAAAATAATTTATTCAGCAATTTTTACTCCGCCTGATGGACTCGACTTAAATTTCGATGTAGACCTTTGTCAAACACCGACAAAAAAAAATAAAACAATATTTTACTTTAAAAAAAAAAATATTTTCTAGAAAGAATATTTTACGTCAAAACAAACGGAACTGAAGTAATAATTATTTTTTAAATTAATGTTTTGAAGTTAGTTTTTGGCAACATTTTCACTTACAGTTTTATGGTATCAACTTAATTATCACTTCATTTATTTGGCATATTGTCACGATCCGATTCCTAAGACGCTTGGAGGATGGAAGACACGCATGCTGGTTGGCAAAGAGCAGAGTTTGACTGGGAATGGTTCCAGGGAAGGGGCGTGCAGGACCACAGGATGGTACCTCTTCAGAGTTCAGGCAGGTCGACTCGGTTCAGTTCGAGGTGCTTGTCGCTAGTCTTGGACTTGACTATGAAGAAGGGAGTTGGCCATCTCTGCACAAACTGGTCGGGAGCTGGAGCCGTTCCCCTGACGAGGCCATGGCAGGCCGAAACCAGTCAGCATGTATCCTTGGGAGGGCAGGTCGTGGTGGCTGACCAGGACGCTTGCGCGAGCTGAAGCAACGCCTTGATGCCGCACGGGCCGTGCCGCTACGCCAAATCTCTAGGCCCGTGACAATATGCCTTGAATATAACATTTAATGCTAGGCATATAGAGAAAATTATAATCTGATAATAGATAATATCTTAGTAATTGGATCAACAATGTTGTTTCTTTTCTTAGTAGACAGGAGCTCCTTGTTAATAAATAAATAACATGAATGAATTGCTAGTGCTAAGATATGATTAATCCCATTTGCTTCAATGGTTGATAAGTAATATTTCTTAAACTTTGTTAAGTAATAACACTTCGAAATTTTTTGAAAGGAAACGAGTCTGATACACTTCTGCTCAATGTATTAGTCATATTTTTAGTAAATGCGTGATTATTTCATAAGATGATTATTGTCTTTCAATGTATTAGTCATATTTTTAGTAAATGCGTGATTTCATAAGATGATTATTGTCTTTCACTTTACAACTTACTTGATAAGATCATATGTACTCAATCTTACAGAAAATCAACCCTAATCTCTATTCGACAATAGAACAATCTATCCCTTTATGTTTTCATTATAATGATCATTATTAAAATCATTAGCATTATCACATAGGCCACATGCACTATGATAATCTTTCTGCAAAGAAGCAAAGCTTTTGTTACAAATTTAACAATAACACTTATTATTTTTGTTAGGTAAGACATAAACATTCACCCACCATTGCTTCAACGGGAATATAACTATTAACCTTTCATACGATGGGAAGAGAAACCAGTTAATGCGTGGTTGATAGTATTTATTATCACTACAATCTCCTCTTAAGAGAGTATATCTTTCACATTTTCGATTCTAATGGGCATAAAAATAAAAATCTTTGAAAAACAATATATTCTTTTTATTTTAGTTTTTCTTCCCCTTTTTTTTTTTTTCTTGTCGACTCTTGTATTTTTATTTTATTTATTTTTTAAATGCAGAACTTTTTTCTTGTATAATATTCTTTTTCATTGTCTTCCTTCTTAAGATAACCTCTTGACGGTTTGCGTTCAATTTTGACTTTTTTTTCTCTCTATATTTTTCAGTGAAAAGAATAAATAGAGAAAAAAGAGATGATGAGAACAGAAAAGAAACGACAGTGTTTGAATAATAAGGATAAAATAAAAATAAAATGATAGTGATGATAGTAGAGAAAAAATGTTTTACTGTGAGTGGAAGGAGTAAAGAGAAAATTAATTGGTTATAAAATTAGGGACATATCCTAACTACTTTATCCATTCCTTCCACATGTTCATAGCAAAATTAATATGTGAGGGATGAACTCCTTTTCCTTCTTGATCCTATTCTTCCTCTCATCAACTTTAAACCAAATGCAATATAGCTGTCCCTCCTCTTATTTTTTAATTCCTTCAATCCAAACACACTTTTATTAGTATTTGGCAAGGAAGCAAATCAATGTTCAAATGTGTATAAAATCTTAAAACATCTTAATGGAACTATGAAATAAGCCAAATTGTTTGATAAAATTAGGCAAAAGTGTCCTATTATACACCTAACATCGTGATTAATAGGCTTGCAACATGTGCTAGCCAACATGAGCCCCAACCAAGTCTTTGATCTCAATATGAGTTTGGAATTGGATAGAGATTCGGACAAATCAAAAATTCGAATCCAGTCTAGATTATTACCATTATTATCACATGGTATGAAATTTTTATAGCGAGTTTAATTTGAGTCAAATTGGACTCAACTTGAATTTATTTTGGACTTACTCTGATTAATTTGACAACCTAATTCTAATTAAACCAACTCGAACTTAACATGAAATTAGATTAATAAAATTAAGTTGGGTCGGAGTCGATTTAGATTTAAGTTATCTTGATTCTATATTTTAAACTTCAAACTTTATAATTGAAATTAAACTGGACGAATTTTTGAACAATGACGAGATAAATTTAGATCCTATTATTTGTCAAGAAAAAGCAAAAGAATTGTAATCTACACCAAAGCTAAAAGCTTTATGCTAGTCAAGATTTGTTACCTTGCTTTTAAATCATGTTTAAGATTGAAATCTTTACTTTCGTCAATTTCATACTATCAAATGACTTTAAAGTTGAATTTAGATCGATCATCTTACTTTTAGACCATGTAATATAGACTGGGATTTTTTTTATATTTTTTTTCAATTAGTGAATGAATCTATGGTCTCAAGACTTTCGAAAAGTTATTGACTCTCTAGAAGTGTATTACCGAAGCATTAATCTCATGTCAAAATATAAATCAGACTTGGTGATGATTTTATTTCAAGTTGTTGTTATTTGGGATGACAAAAGAAAGGACAAGACATTGACTAGAAAGAAGCAAACACTGCACATGCAAAGGATTAGGGGAAGAAGAGCAAAGCAACGGGCCCATATAAGATTCTCTAGATTCATATGTAACAAGGTCAATATGATCTTAATGATATATATATATATATATATATATAATCTCTTATTTCACTCAAGAGTTTAATTGGATGGCCACAACACTAGGAAGGATGGAAAAAAGTAGTCATGGTTCATGATTATACACTCTTTTTATCTTTTAATCAAACATGTACTACTTTGTTTTTTTTTCGGTAATTATGTACTACTTTGTACTACTTTCTTATTCAAACCTTTTGTGGACGTGGTTCAGCCATGTCACCAAAGGTCAAGTCAAACAGTCAACTCCTTGACAATATCCATCTCAGCATGGTGAGCAGTAGTCGACTATTAGACCTCAAACTTTGAACCAAACATTCGGTCGATGGATCCTGGGCCTTGAACCACGAGCCAATCTCCGCAGTCAGTCGATGGGCTTTGCACCTCGATCTAGCCTTCACAGTTTGTCGATCGACGGGTCTTGAACCTCGATCCGACCCCATCACAGTTTGTCGATCGACGGGTCTTGAACCTCGATCCGACCCCATCACAGTTTGTCGATCGACGGGTCTTGAACCTCGATCTGACCCCATCACAATTTGTCGATCGACGGGCCTTGAACCTCGATCCGACCTCATCACAATTCGTCGATCAACGGGCCTTGAACTTCGATCCGACCACATCACAATTCGTCGATCGACGGGCCTTGAACCTCGATCTGACCCCATCAAAATTGGTCGATAGACGGGCCTTGAACCTCGATCCGACCCCATCACAGTTGGTCGATCGAAGGGCCTTGAACCTTGATCCGACCCCATCACAATTTGTCGATCGACGGGCCTTGAACTTCGATCCTACCTCTTCACAGCTTGTCGAGCGACGGGCCTTGGGCCTCTGATCTTGCACAGTTTGACGACCGACATATCCTGAACCTCGAATCAATTGATGGGCTTTGAGCCTTTATTTAAGCAACGAAGAGCTATGGAAGGGCTCTTCGAGTAACACTGGGATGTAGAAGGGATTTTGGAATGGAGGATGGAAAATTAGTAATGTCTTGCCCACTAAGGCAAGACCCAGTTTGAGGATAAGAGCAAAGGACAGCTGGAATAGTACAATCGCCTCTACAACCTGTCATTCTTAGATTATTCAACAGAAAAAGTGCACTTGGCAGTTGATCCAAAAATATAGGAATTAGGGCAACATGACCCAAAGAGGCATGCCCGCTCTAAAGATGAAGGCCCAACAATGTACCACCTGGATGACCTAGGGTTATGAAAAGGAGACAGTGACAAAAAGAAAGGGGTAAGAACTAACGGCAGCTCTTTACCTACCATTGCTCAAGATTCTCTTTCTGGACTGATTTTCTCTCCCTTCTTTCTACCCTTCTGCATTCTTCACATTGCTAAGTGGTATATTCCCAGACTTTCTTAACTCTTCTAGGACCCACGCAGAAACAGGTATCTACATTTGGCGACTTCACTTGGGATTATCGTAGCAAGACAATGAATCCAGATGAGGTTCCTC